CCAAGGGACACGCCCTACGTGACGAACAACAACACGTGGGCGCAAGCAAACGCTACGAGTCAGCCAAGGGACACGCCCTACGTGACGAACAAGAACACGTGGGCGCAAGCAAACGCTACGAGTCATCCAAGGGACACGCCCCACGTGACGAACAACAACACGTGAATGGACGCAAACGCTTCGAGTCGCCCGAGGGATACTCCCCGCACGACGAACAACGAACGACACGTGGACATAAGCCAAAGTAACGAGACACCGTTAGTCAACCCGGAAGAAAGACTAAACGTGTCATGGGTCCAACGATTCTGCGAAGGCGCCGATCAACAAGTGTGCTTTAACTCCGCTTTCATGACATCTCTCCCACGTCTACAGTTACCAAGATTCGATGGCAATCCTCTTSAGTGGCCATCCTTCATCTCGCTGTTTAAATGTCTTGTACATGATCAACCTTTAACTGACACACAAAAAATGACTCATCTTCAACGTGCTCTGGATGGCGACGCTAAGAAAGTCATCGGTGGTATGTTAAACCACGGACACATGTACAAAACTGCTCTATCTGAGCTGGAGGAACAYTTCGGAAACGAGGAAGTCGTAGCGAGAGCTTATTTGAGAACAATATTCTCTCATCCAAAGATAACAGAAGACAACTTCTCATCACTGAGGTCGTTCTATAACACTCTTCACGTCGCCGTTACAACTTTAAATAACCTGAACTATGTTGATGATTTGGCAGCCACTGACAATTTGAGAAGAGCTGTCAACAAATTACCTGAATCACTGAAGCAGCGATGGGGCGAAAGGAAGGTGGAGATGTTCCCAAAGAAAGTGACACTTTTTGACTTTGATTCCTGGCTACGAGCAAGAGTACGTGCTAAGGCATCGGTCGCTGAGTACTCTACAGGCACCGGTCAGGACAACCGAAAGTATTCAACGACTGCTGGCACAGAACATCGAAGACGTGCCTCCTTCAACAGACGAAGCACATTCAACGCGGCTCAAACTCCTAGAGTGAGCACCTTRACAACCAGCGTCACAAAGGAAACTAACCTACCAATTTACGCAGAATCAGCAAAGTCGATTACTTCGCACAACGTAAAGCAGACRGAGACACAGAAAACGAAACCCTCAGACAGTCCGAACTGCTTGATTTGTMAGAAACAACATTCTGTCGATAAATGCGAACGTTTCAAAGCCATGGACGTGGACGACCGAGCAAAGTCTGCTAAAGAAAAGTCACTGTGCTTCTKCTGTCTTGATTCAACTACTCACCTTGCACGAAACTGCTCACGTAAAACTCGATGCGATGTTGGAGACTGCAACAAACGTCATCACCCACTCATTCACGGCGCTGCCAAGGTTTTCAGCGGAACGTCATCGATTAACTGTGGTGACGCGACAACATTACTTCAAATGGTTCCAGTTGCAGTAAAGGCTAATGGAGTCACTAAGAACACGTACGCACTACTAGACTCCGGAAGCCARGCAACACTAGTTCTGGAAAGCTTTGCTAAAACGCTCGGACTAGAAGGTAAAGGAGACACAGTCCTCCAACTCGGYACTGTCAGCTCAAATGAAGAACCACGCAATTCAAAGAAACTATCTTTTGTGGTCGSCAACGTTGATGGTGACTCCGATGACATAGAGGTTGAAGAAGCGTATACCGTACCACATTTAAACATGCCACAGCAAACAGTTASTAGAGACACTATCAAAGGCTGTCCACACCTATCCAGCATCAAGATCCCAACTGTTGATTCGAAAGACGTAACTATTCTCATTGGTGCGAACGTCGTGGAAGCTATTCTACAACGCGAAGTCAGACGTGGTTCACCAGGACCACCCGTAGCTATAAGGACAGCATTTGGATGGACACTCGCTGGCTCCATCAAACCGTTCGTGAACCCAGAACGTCTCCATGTTATGCACGTACACCGAGTGCTGAATGCAGAAGAAAGGCTTCTCGATCAAGTTGAGAAGTGGTGGCGAACGGACTCATTCGGCACGAAGTATGAACATGAAACGCCAAGATCTCGTGAAGAYAAGAGGGCCCTGGAAACGTTAGAGAGAACTGTAAAGCTAAACGACAACCATTACGAGGTGGGGATGCTCTGGAGAGACGACGATGTACAGTTGACCAATAACTGGAGAATGGCTATGAAGAGACTCCAGTCTACTGAGAGACGCTTGCTTCGCGATGATACSTTAGCACAAAAGTACTGCGACATCATCGAGGGATACATTCATAAGGGCTACGCCCGCAAGATCACCGCKGAAGAGTCTACCCTGTCAAGGAAACAGTGGTTTCTCCCACACCATCCRGTACTTAACCCAAACAAACCTGGGAAGGTACGAATGGTGATGGATGCCGCGGCAAAACACGATGGACTTTCGTTAAACGACAAGCTGCTCACTGGCCCCGATTTGCTAAATAGTCTGCCCGGCGTACTTCTCAGATTCCGCGAATACAAAGTTGGAATGTCCGCAGACATCGAAGCAATGTTTCACCAGTGCAACATCAGCGAAAGCGACCAGCCGGCACTACGTTTCTTGTGGCGCAATCTTGAGCTCGATCGACCRCCCGACGTCTATCAGATGCAAGTTATGATCTTYGSKGCGGCCTCTTCACCGTGCACGGCTAATTACATTCTCCGTAAGACTGCAGACGACAACCGGGATTCGTTCTCTTCAGAGGCCATCGACACTGTACACAGCAATTTCTATGTGGRCGACATGCTAAAATCTGTTCCTGATGAATYCAAGGCAATTCAACTCCAAAGCGAACTCACCAAGTTGTTAGCACGTGGTGGTTTTAGACTAACYAAATGGAGCAGTTCTTCACGAAGGGTGCTTACAGAGATCCCACGACAAGAGCTAGCAACGTCAATCGATCTTAATAAGATGGCAGACCAGGATCTACCTATCGAGCGTACACTAGGCCTAAAATGGAACACTGAGACAGACGCGTTCAGATTTTCAATCTCATCCCACAAGGCACACGAAATGAC